GACGGGCTCCTCCTCGCGGTGCACTGTTCCCCCCACTGGTCAGGCTCGGAGAAACCCTCTCTGGTCACCTGTGTGACTTGTGCCCCATTTCTGTGGCATTCTCCACCCCAATACCATCATTTCTTTTAAATACCTGATAAAACTGGAAATCATCTTATCGTATGTTTTGATTTTTTTTCCCTCTATAAGAAATGAAGTTCTGAGAAGTAGAGACCTTGTCTGTCTTATTTATCTCTGGAGAAGAACCCTCTCTGGCAGAAAGAAAGGAGACTGTGCAGTTTGTCACTGCTTGTGCGTCACTGTCATTAGGTGATGGGTCAGTGTGTCCGGGCAGGGGGATTCACAGGATTATATCCTATCAAGGTAATAGTAAAGAAGTTGATCTGTATCATCTGGGGAAGAATGACCTTGATGGGCACCCCAGAACCGCCTCTGTATGTCTGACGGGCTTCACGGGGACAGAGCAGGTTCACTGGGCTCCATTACAAAGAACTGTAGGAGTTCCGTGTAGAGGAATGTGTGGGAGCCATACGGAGATGGAGTTCTGTTCAATACGATACAGAACTTCTGAGCAGTCCAAACAGACCAAAAATTGAGTGATCTTCCTTGGTAACAAGTCTTCATATTGGATATCATGACTTTACGGGAAATTGGAGTAAATCCTCACTTCTTACTGTCCAAGAAAACACTACCATCCCTTTAGATGCTGTTAAATGTCCTAGAAAATGATGTTTTATTTATTATATTACATGTTATATGTATTATATTTGTATGTGTTATGGCAAATTCAGTTTGTGGAAAACTGAATCAGACTGAAAAAATTCTGTATTGCAGAAAATTTAATAAAGCCTTTAATAAAATAAAGTGCCTCATGAGCCCCCCTCCCAAAGAAATAGTGTTCCCTTCAGCACTAGCATAGTGGATATGATTCCTAATAGGAGCATGTGTGTGGGCGTGTATGTGATCTAAATCCACACAGTGTGAAGTCACCTAGGAAACCAACAGGTAAAAATAGTTGTTACTATTTTTGTCATAGTTACTATTTATGTCATCTTGTTCCATGATCAGAACTATTTAGCCTCAATGATTCAGAGAAAATTAAACACCATCAAAGCATAGAATCCCTTGATGTGCTAACTCCCTGTTCCCATGAGAAGCAGAAAACAAGGTCCTTCCAGATACAAGATCAAAATGCAAATATCCAGGCCTCTAGGTCAGTGTGCGCCCCAGCGCACAGCAGGGCATTGCTCACAGTGGTGACGATGTCAAGAAAGAGAAGGAGGGAGGAAAATGAGGCATGCCAAGACACAAAAGGCGCCCATTTTAGGCCAGGGGTAGTTGGTCATTCCTCCTTACATTGCTGCAAGGGGAGAAAACCGGGGCTCGCGAAGGGCATCGCTGTGGCCGTAGTTCCGTTCCAGGGAAGGCAGGATAGATCGAGGCAGAAAAACACACACAGGAAATGAGAGTGAAGTTTGACAGTACTGAATCCTAATTTCTTCTCCGGTAGCTTTGGGGTGCCACAGGGAAGAGAAAGGCAACCATTAGAAGACTAAAGAGGGTAGGATAATCAGATTGGATCTGGGCCGCAACGTGGAGTTCCTGGGTCAGTTAGCTGAAGGGAAATAGGGCTTCATCTTCCGTTCCCAAAAGACCCTTCGTAATTTGAGGCTCAGTGTGCAACTTGAAAATTTCCTCTCTGTGGGAACAGCTGTCCAAATACAAAGCAAAACCACACCCAAGCACTTGACCTCACCTTTAGATAAAATGCACAGAACTTTATCTCCACCCGTCCTTCAGCAGCTGTATCTTTGCATACACCCTGAGAATCATCCTCTCAACCCCACCCTGAGAAATTAACCTGAGACTTTGCCTAATAACCATAGCCTCCATAAACAATTGTTCATATTTCCCACACCGGCTACCATTAGTAAGTCCACACATAGTCTGAACCTTGACCTCTAAGCCTTTAACTGGTCACACCCTGCATACAGAACTTTCTTGAACACTTGACTCTTCCAAGACCCCACAGTCTCTATGGTCCCCCTGAAGTTTTTGATGTACACACTCCCTATCCATAAAAGTCACATTTTTTCCATTCTTTCAAATGTTGAGAGAAATATTCAGCATGGGGCCAACACTGGGCCTGCAAAAATCTAGTGCTAATTTTGTCTAGTGGCCATTAATTTTCATATCCATTTCTGACTATCTGATAGGCTCCCATAAATGTTTGTGCCAAGCCTTCTCCATCCTTCCAGGCCAATCCAATCCTTCCACTGCAAAAGGCAACACCACGACTTAACAGCCAGAGCCTCCCTTCCAATGAGATCCCCTTCATCTTTACCCTCCCTTGAGATATCTGCCTCTACATTGGTCTACCCTTCTCTGTCCCCTGTGTCAGAGGGAATGGTGTCTCCCCCTTGCTCTTCATCTTATTTCCTACCTTTCTGTACTCTTCTAACTAGCCACCCTCTGTCATACATCTTAAATTTTTTCTTCTTTCAGACATGTTCAGTCTGTCCTACACCTTGCTGAAGCTTAAGCTTCTCCCATTCATTCACCTCCTCTCTTTGACTCTCAAATATCTAAAAAAAAATTATAATCCTATCATTCCACTTCATCCCAATCACTCTTTGACCCCTTTCCCACTTCTCTTTGCTTAAATCACATTTCATGAAGATACCTCTTCTTGAAACATAATGGCTTTTTCTCAGTATTCATTCTCTTCAAACTTTCATAGCAAACAGTGAACTTCTAAAGACATTCACTTCCCTCTTTTCCATCACTGAACTCAATTTAGCCTTCTCCATTAGTTGGTAGTATGGCATTGGGAAGATAAGTATCTGAACCTCATTAGTATCTGAGCCTCAATTTACTCACTGGTAAAATTTGGTAATAAAAATTCCTCCTCAATGTGTTGCCATGAAGATCACATTCCATGCCATTAGCTACCATATCTCAAGCTCTAATTATGATCTTGGCATTCGGATACACAAGCACACACAAGATTTTAATCTCATTTAATATTCAGAACTACTCTGTGAGGTAAATATTATTTCTATGTTATAGATGAAGAACTAAAATATCCAGAGCTTAGCCTATATATGCAAAGTCACACAGTCAATAATCATTAAAAGCAAGATTCCAAATGAGATTCACTGGATTCGATGGCTGGATTCTATTCTTAACTATTGGATTATACTGTTTCCCAAAGAGTTGTGAAGGTCAAAATTTTAGGGAGCAATGCTATGTTGTTTGTTGTTAGCTTATTATCTTTTACAGATGCTGTTTATTCGAATGTACAGGACTGAACCTGCCAGGCAAAGGGCTGGTGGGGCAGAGGCCCTGCCTTCCCCCAGGTTTCCACGCATATGTCCCCAAGCCCAATAAACAACAGCCACTGGGACAGCTGTCCTCGGACAACACCATTTATGGTCTTACGTCTGCAGAAACTCTTGACCTGTCAATAATAATAGCAATCACAATAACAGTTACGTGCACTGCTCTTTAGAACAGATGTTCATGGAAATGACTCCAATTATGTGGATTCTATTGTGGCTAGAAAGGGGATAAAAGTAAAACTCTGTGGTGGTCTCTGTATTGTTCACCAACTATTTCCAGTTCTCCCCCTTCTGGTCTCCAACAAACAAGACAGAAGCCTACTTGGTGACTTCTGCGGTTGAGCCAGGCTGCAGGATGAGGGGAAAAAGGGACAGTGGTGTCACTTCCTCAAGAACACATTTTCATTCCACCTTGATGAGACAGGGACCAAGGGTGTAGTCAGAGTGGGGTGAGGGCCTCCGGAAAAAGCAAGGCAGGATATTTACAGTCAAAGCAATGTCACAATGTAAAATCCCTGTTGAAACTCTGTGTTCAGCATTATGCAAAGTCAAGGTCACACTAATTCTCTAAGTAAAGATATCAGACTAGGAATGTGTATCAGACTAGGAACTGATCTTCAGTGAGATCAGTTAAAGGTCAAAAGACCAGGAGCAACTTGGCCTGGAATGTTTGAGTGTGCCGCAAGGGTATCAGCATAACCCCTGACTTCACTGTAAACAGCCCTGGCAAACAGACAACAACCCAGCCCACCTTGAGGGTGGGGCAGGTGGTACAAGTCCACACCCTAAGGCCTCAATTCCCCAAAATCCTCAATTGCCTATAAATCCCCTAGACATCACCACCCTGGGCTCTCTTGTGCCCTCCTGGCCTGAGCCAGGAGCTCTGTCCTCTCACTTTATTTCTAAATACCTTGGGTATTTGCAAAGTTCATTCTTCAACTCCGCAAACAAGAACCCCAGCATCATTGACAGTGAATAAATAATATTTCAAATTGTGGCGACTCTTTTCACCTGCGACCCACTGGGGGCAATGCAGCTCCATCAGCCGACCACTGTACATGTATAGCTTGGAGAGGAAATAAACTTGCAGTATTGTAAGTAACAGGAATCTTGGGGCTATGCATCACCACAACACAGCTGGTCCTCCCAAAGGATACAGGCCTGGGTGCACGTGACTTATCCGAGGCCATCACACAGCTGGAGAATGTCGGTGCCCTTCTCCAGGCATCATGGATTCTCAGATCACGATCCTTCCACTAGGTCCCAGCTTGCTTCTCAGATTCATTGCTTCAAAACTAAAGCAGAATTTTTCCCAGGGGACAAAATACAAACATAAGTACAATCTGTCTAGTGTGGGTTTAATATCTTCTACTTTGGTGACACAAAGTTTTCACTTATTTCATAAGCAGGCCAAGCAGCCTAAACTTTCTCTCTTCTACTCTATGAAATCTAGAGTTCCAAATAACAGTCCCCACCTCCGGGGCAGGCAGAAAAATACTTCTCACCTCAAATAATCCATCTGTTGGTCAGATGGGAAGTAGCAATTTCATGACAGGCACTGCAGCACCACCCAGGGTGTAACACTGTGCTTTGAGGTCTTCTCTGAGCCAACGGTAACTCCGGGTGACCTCACAGGGGAGGTGGTGAAACCGGCATCGCCGTATAAACATGACCCGTTTCGCGGGGCATGTCTGGCCCAGCTGCTGCCACGGCCCTCCACAGCCTCCGCCTCACAGCTGCCTGAGCCATGAACGTCGTAGGGCCTCTCCTGCTGCTCTGGACAGGGACCCATTTCTGGAGCAGCTCTGGTGAGTCAAGGGTAGATTGTGACCTGTGCAGCCGTGAAGCTTGTTTTCCCTTCCTGGGCATCTAGAAGAAATGTCAGGTCATGTGCATTCAAAGTATACAGGTTTATAATAGAAACAGCGCTGGCCTAGTAAGGGAGAATCTTAGGTGCCGCCTGGAGTTGAGGGATTTGGGTCTAGTAGCTTCTCTTTGAAGGTTTTTTATTTCCATCCATAGAACAACAACAAGAAAAATGAACTAATTTCTCCCTAAGTCTCCCATTTCATAAGGACACTGGCAGGAATAATACTATTCCTCAGTCCAAGATGCAGAAAAGCTGGAATGTCTCGCCGAATCAGTCCAGGAGGACCCAGATAAACACAGATCCAAAGCTGGAGGCAGCAATTAAACTTAATATGGTAAAAAATCACTTAAATGAAGTGAGATTCTAACACTTTACAGACATCCCCTTACATCAGTAGGAGGGGGAGGCTATCAGAGCCGGTGCTCCCGGCTCGTAGGCGTGGTGACCACGCACTTCCTGTTGCTCTCTGACTTTGAACCATTATAAAGGGCAAAATGAGCCCCAGAAAACGTCCCATGGTTAGTCAAGAGAGGAAATTTGGACAATCGTCTTTCCTGAAACGTGGACTTATCTAACCCACTGGTCATTTGTCTTCCTCCATAAACAGCTGGAATTTTGAGGAAGGATGGGGTGTGTGCTGAGATTCATGTCAGAAGAAATACAGTCTTAATCTCTAGGACCAAATTTACATTAATTAATGAGCTTTGAAGACTGCTTTATTTTTTAATATTTTTCTCACTCTCTGTCTTTCAGAAGCTGCTAGTCTGCCTTTGCCAACAGTGAGTTTACCGAATTGCATTTTGATTTTAATTTCTATTGGTTGTCATATTGTTAACAGATCCTTAATGAAATATGTATACATATTATTAATTCAGTCTGTTTAGGGGGCAACGGGGGCAGGCAGACACAGATAAAGAAACCGTCTCTGTTTTCCAGAGGAAGTTGAAGAAATATTACACACACATAAACAAGCATAGCTTAAAACAAAAACCAGAGTTAAAGGGGAGAGAGGAGAGGAGAGGCTGGTGACGTCTTCATGGAAGGACAGCTGACAAGAGGTGGGGCAGTTGCCTGGTTGGTGCACCGGAGTCAAATCCAACCCCAACACTTACTAGCTTCTACATTATACAAGTTCTCTCTTTTTAAACCTTAGTTTTCCCTGTTTGGAAGTAGGGCTAATAATTTTTATAAAGACTCAGCTAAGAAAATCAATGTAAGATTTAATACCTGGCATGGAAATGCTCAGGAATTGTTAACCCAGTGTACTCAGAATAATGGAAACGGTGCTGGTAGTACTGGTCTTGGCCGTGTGGTGGTGACACCAACATAAGTCGCCCTGGCAGTCTCAGAATGTCTGATCTGGGATTTCCAGGATGGTATTTGGCTTCCTACCCAACAGAGGCCAGGGTAGTCCAGCTTGAGGCCAGGAGAAAGCAGGCCATTCTCTGTGTCAGCCACAGATGGACTGCAGTGTTTACCAGGAGTATCCTGTGACGGCCATCCCCTGCCCCATCACCTATAAGCCCATCTGTGGTTCTGACTACATCACCTACGGAAACGAGTGCCACCTGTGTGCTGAGAGCCTGTGAGTAGCTCGTGGGAAGGACGGTGTGCTGGGGCCCACGTCCTCCACCGGGGACCTCCCCTCTCTCCACGCACCTGCTTAGCCCTGCATGGGCTGTGCTCATTCCCACTCAGAAGGGGCTGGCGGAGGGAGCCGTCGGCCTGGGTCCGGCCCCTGCGTTGCCAGTATGAGCTGGTCTCATCCGTCACAGGACCTCCCGTTCCTGTCTGCAAACCGAGGGAGTCCAGTAAGACCAGGACCTCACACACTCCGTCCCCGGAGCCCAGAGGTTCTGCAGAGGCGAGTCAGGAGTTCCGAAAGGGTGTGAAGGGATCAACTCGGTCTCTGGCCCCAAGCTCAGCTTTTGACGATTTTAAGTAGTGGAGTTCTATCAAGTACTTTGTTTAAAGAAAGTGCCTTGAACCCCACCCTAGAAAACACTGAAAAACTGTGATCCTATGTAAGACTTAAAGGCCATACAGTTTAATTCTTAGACAGACTGGCGGGAGGGCCTTTATCCTCTTGAATTTCATAGTAGCTCTAAATACCTGTAGCCTTAGGAAAATGGGGTAAGACCACTGCAAAGATTTTTTTCTTTTACCTAAAAGAGGGACGCGAGATGCAATGCTTGGCCTGCAACATGCTTTGAAGGCAGCATAACTAGGCAGAGTCGCTGCTTTGGTGGAGAAGAGGCATCTTGGCATTTACTGTCTTACCCCGGGTTCACTTTGCTCATTGTTAACTCTCTCACAGACTACTGGATTTGGGTCAGTCACCTTAGATCACTTGCAGTTTTCATCTTTTGGATAATTTCGACAAGTTAAACTATCAGGGGGGGCCCTGAGCCTTTCAGGATATGTGTACACATTTATGTTATTCAGAAACTTTCATTTTACAAAAGGGAGGATTCTCTGACATGCACGCACACACACAAGGACCATGGCCCAGACACGAGCGGTGTTCAAGGGCCCCAGGGGACGTGCCGAGGCCCTGCTGCCCAGGGAAAGCTACGGGGCAGGCCACCTCGGTCGGCACCTCCTCCCGGAAGCCCTCCTTTGTTGCCGTGAGACTGATCAGCCCAAGCTCTGGAATCGGTGGAGACAGCAGGTGGGATGGAAGCAACACTGGCTAAGGAAACTCCGTGTCTGTGTCTGTCTCGGTCAGAAACTGCCTGAGGCAAGGTCATTCTTTTCAGGGATTCAACTCCCTTCCTGTACAAGTAGGTCCTGCCTCATAATCTCTATGGTTCCTGTCAGCGTTACCATTGTAAAAGTTTCCTTCGGTGCTAATGGCTCTTGCTAACTGCGCCTTCCCGCAGGAGGAGCCATGGCCGAGTTCAGTTACTTCACGAAGGAAGGTGCTGACCTCTCCACGGATGCGGGTGCAGAGCCGTGGCACCCCGTCACCGCCGCAGGCTCGGACTGCCTCCCCCGGGCTCGGCGGGCGCTCGGGGTGGGGGGCGCGGCACAGGTCCAGGGCCACCTGTGTCCCCTGCAGGAGGCTGTGCTCCCCCTCGAACGCAGGCCTCCCTGACTTCCTGGCTGCTTTTTGCACCTGAATAAAAGAGTCTCTCCAGAGAGTTTTTATTTACTTCTGTTTCTGTTTGTGTCTTAGGTCAACGTGTAAAATCTCAGTTTAAAAAGAAAACTGAAGGGACATACAAATCTTGTTCGGGAGAAAGTTTCGGACAAGGAATCCCAAGGGACTGCCAAGAAACACGTGCAGATGTACACACACACACACACACACACCCCAAAATATGAAAGTTTAAAAATGTGGATAGAGGCAATTGTCACATTCTAAAAAGGATCACTTCTGCACTTCTGCGGGGTCCCTGGCAGACCAGAGCGCCTGGCCTCCAATGGACACTTCAGATGGAAAGATGCTCCTTAGCTCCAGTCATTACCAACCATCTCTGATCACCCCAAAGTTCCTTTTCCTATCAAAAGCAGTATCTATGATTTTCAGTAAGGCCGAAAAGATGCGTCATTTGTCTCTTTTAAGTCAGCTACTAAATGCTCTCTGAGTCCGTCCTTTCCAGGTCACTCTATCACCGTCTGCCTCAGCATGGCCGATGTCATCACACACCGACTCTCGCCGAGAGCTTTCTGTGTGCCAGACTCGAAGTAAGTGCTATATGTATGCATGTGTATATATGTCTAAACGATTTTATTTGAAAATCACAAGCTTATAATGATGATTATTTTTCATTATTTTGAAGCTATTATTATTTTTATTCTATGAGCTTCTTAAAAAATCACTTGACACTTGTTAAAATGACGAGGAAGATGTTATTTCAAGGTACAGTCTTCAATACCCTATGGCAGTACTCTGTTTGCAAGAGGGGTGGGGAGAGATGGGACCTAACTATGGATGCAGCAGGTGGGGATTTAAGCCAGATGGAAAATTACTAGCAGGAGATACCAAGGATAGGAGAATTCTTGCTAAAGGCAGGCCAAGCACTTAACGTATTAAATGTGGGAAATGAAGAACTTGATCAGAAGTGAACATCTCATTCTTGCACTGTAAGCCTGTAATTGGGAACTTGAGGCTCATGGCCAGAGCTTCAGGGACAGGCCATTAAGTCCATTATTGGTTAAGATGGTCACACAGCCCCTTATTATTGGCCTTAGGGAGGCCCTTCTCCAAAGTGCCTTTGATAAAGACATTTCTGCTAGAGATGGGCAGGTAAACGAGGTGTGTGTGCTCACCAGCTCCACCCATTGTACCATCTTCCCAAATTTGGAATTATAAGGAACACTATCCCCTGCTAAAGAGCGTGAATCATTGCTTGTATCTGCTGAATCAAGCCTTGAGTGTGAATAGCTCTCCTCTGTGCCCAGTTTGGAGTCTCAACTGGCAACATATCTTATTTCGTGCTGGAGAAAGAGGAAGAAAAGGGGAATAAGAGAAAATTTCAAAACCTGTGAGGCTGCCATGCTGAAGACTGTTCCTGGAAAAAGAAGCACAAGAAAGCATATGTAGTAAACCCAGGGAAATTATTTTAACTTCCCTGTTACTTCACTTCCTCACCTGTAGAACAAAGAAAATGGTAACTATCTATCAGACTTTTTATGAATATCAAAAGGTAGAGTAGACGTGAAAGCACCCAAGTTTGTGAGTACATAAAGACGTCAGGAAATCGTGAGAGCGTTATTGGGGCCAATAATCTATTAAACTGTGATGTGTAATCACCTGTCTTTCACAACAAAAGAATTTCCATTTGTAGCAGACACTCCTTACCTCTTCCCAGGATTCTGTTTCTGGAGACAGCTATTTCACAACTGATGCAAAAACTCTTGACAATATAAAGCAGGGTCCAACTGGGTCGGGCAGACACCAGAAAGTCTCTGCTCAGCCTCCATCGATTGCTCTTGGCCACCTCGGCAGCATGAAAGCAGCCCTTGTCCTGCTTTTTGCTCTGGCACTTACAACCGTCTTCGGTGAGTATCTCCCTCATACCACTGCCCCCTGCTCCTGTCTTCTGCCCATAGAATTCTGGGATGCACACATTACACAGATAATGAGGGCCGCTTTTGAGGTGCATTTTTTGTCTCCACCATATCATCTCTGAGTGAATGTAAATGACCAGCTAAGGCCAAATTCTTATCCATAAAAACTTTGTGTGACCTCTTTGGGAAGTGTCATCCAGACTGCATTGGCTTGATGGCACCATCTATGGGGACCTCCGTTAGGCTCTGCTCCAATTCCACTTCAAAATAAAAAGAGAAAGAAATATCTGTATTAAGAACTACAAACTGTGATATTTATTATTCTGAAACAGTTCTGAATAGAGTCCAGTATTTTTATCACAAGCTGAGAGCTGAAACATACTCAAAAATTGTTTTTCTAATAAGATTAGGTTCCTCCAGAGTTTAATTTAATGTTCTCTTGTCTTTGTTTTTCTTGAAGATGTAGAATGTGCCAGACGCCAACAGGTCAGTCCATCCATCTTGATATAAAAGCCGTATTTCATGTAATTTTAAAGCCAGTATTAGCAAGGAAATATTTGATGCTATACATTAATTTTCTACATGTTTGAAGATTTCTCTTTTAACTATCAAAACTTGTTTTATTTTAAAAACTGTAGAAGACCTTTTAAAAATGGAGGTAGTAGAACAAAGTGGTTAGACACCTAGCATCTGAGTTATAAAGTCCTAGGCTTGATTCTAGCCCTCCGACCCTGTGGCCCTGGACGCAAGTTCTTGCCATGGAGGATCCCTGTGAGTCTTGAGGCCGTGGCGTTTGAAAGGAGTTCAGGCTAGTCTGGCGCAGAGCAAAGCTCAGCAAGACCAGTCGTGGCACCTGCCATTTCTAAATGGATCACATACATCTTTATTCTCTGCCTTAGAGAATGAAGATTGTAATTTAACCTTTCCTTCACGACTCATATTAAGTGATGACTGTTCTTGAGAAAAGCTAGGTGTGGTAGCAGAAACAAAACCACCTGTCAAGCACCTGGGGTTCTAGTCCAAGTCCTACTGCTCTTCAGCTGCGTGACCCTGGGGTCTGCACAGCTCCTTTCACCTCTTTGAGTCTTTCGTTTTACCTATTAAGGAAAATAAATCACACTAGGAATATGAATTATGAATTTGGAAGTCAGACAGGCCTGCATTCAAGCCATCCTGCGTGACTTAGTAGTTGTGTGAGAAAGAAAAGGGGCAGCAAGCATTGAGCTGCGGTTGCTTCCTGGTCACACGGCAGGTGGTACGTGAATCCTGGCACCAGGCTTTGGGCAGACCAAGGGAAGAGGTGAGATCATGCTCAGCAGGGGCATCGCGATTTCCGTTCTCCCGCGAGAGCCCACCAGCCCCTGGGTCCTTCTGCCTCTCTCACGCTTCTCAGTCTGTGTATTTCCAGAACTCAGTTTGATGCCAAAACTATAGAAGGCACATGGAATATAGTGACTGAAGAATGAATTAACTGATTGATGGAACACATCTGAAGGGGAGGATGAATTCTGCTTAAGTTGGAGCATATTTCAGACTATCCAGCAATTAGTAAAATATCATATCTGGAACTCTGGGACAGAAAGAGCTGGAAATGTAGTTAATTTGCTAAGAGATGAAAAACTCAGAAAACTCTTTCTTGGTAATTGCATACTTGTTCCCACAAGCAACTCATCACCTTGACTTTGCTCCAGGAATTTAGAACAGGTGTTTCTCAACTACAATGTTAAAATACACTTGTCGATGTGCTGGTGAAGTGCATAACAAGTTATTTCTTAGCAACAATTAATTGCTAATGTAAAAGTTGCTAATGATGTACTAGTTCTTTAAATTATAATAATGATTTCTATAATACATCTCATATTTGCATTCAGATGGAACTTTTTAAGTGACAGAGAGAAGTAGCAGGACATATAGAAAATTGATTCCAGGGAAATGGTTGCACTTGTGAATATAAAGAAGTTTGTCACTCGTGATTTTATATCTAATATCAAAAATCTTTATACTTATTTCTGAAAGGGTTAGATGAGGACAGACAATTGGAATAAGAAACAAAGGCATTGAGAACCCTCTAAATTTGCTTGGAAAATCCTAAATCCTGGGAATAAAAATTTGATTGAAGGAACTGAAGGCTTTTAATATGTATTTCCAGGTTGACTGCAGTCAGTATAAAAAGTTACCGCCAGGAGAAGAGACATTTTGTTATGACATATATGCACCAATTTGTGGATCTGATGGCAAAACTTATAGCAATGATTGCTACTTTTGTTGTGAAGTTAAGTAAGTATTGAAATGTTTTTCTTTTCTACATTTAAGGTGTAATTGTGTGTCAAAACAAAGGCACCTCAGAAGAAGTGGTTTAGGGCATAAGCAATATGTGAATCTTCTCATGTTGACTCAAATGAATAGAATTCTCACAATTTGTAAGATTTGACAGCCCTTAGTGGATCTCTACATAGTCTGGCAGTAAGAGTGAATCAAAGAATCCCACAGCCTGTAAGTGGGAAGGAAATGTGAGGGGTGTCTGGTCCAACTTCCACCAACTATTGTTCAAACTCCCTCTACAAAAAAAGTCACAGAGTCATCTTGCAGCCCGTGCTTAGCTATTTCTAGGGACATAGAATGTCCCCCCTTCTAGTCATGCCAGTACACATCTGTTAGAATAAGCTGTGTTTATTGTTCAGCTTCAGAGATTTAGTTTGGATTAGAGCTTCCTAATTATAGGTACAAAAGAGGCAATATCTGAAAAGCCTAAATAATTCGTTCTATTTCAGAGTATGATTTCTCAACAACACGTATGTTGGAGCTGTAATGAAAATTAAATTTAGAAAATCAGATAGCCAAAAGTAGTTTAAAGGTGACAAAGTAATCATCTGAAAGATTTATTAGTATCAGTTCAAAAAACATAAAATGATATGTGATACACTAGAATGTATAGAAACATATAATTCCTTTCAATAGTTTCAAAACATACAGGAATGAAAACTAATATATCTGGCATATTTTTCTGGTTATTTTTTATTAAAAAAATTACAATTTTTTTATAAAAAAGAGGCTTCTAAGTGTGTGTCTCCTTTAAAAAAAGATCTGTTAAAATATGTTTTCAAGGACATAAACTGAGTATGTTCTACTTTGAGCATTATCATTATTTAATCAGTGCTAGTTGGTAAAATATTCCTAAATCGCAGTCAATCCTTTTAAGAACGTCGACAACTGGAGAGACTTGGCACATTTTGGGGGGCTTATTAGTGAATTTTGGGTGCTAATAAAATATCTATATCAGCAGTGATTCTCATTTGTTGCAATTTTCTCTCCACAGGAAAACTGATGACAAACTTAAATTTGTACATTTTGGAAAGTGCTGAATCTGTCTTGTGATTCCAATTTATGAGACACAGTTTCTTCTCCCATACATAGTATGCTGGTTGCCTAATCTTGTCACCATTATGTCTTGATTTCTTTGAATAATATAGCAGGCCTAAGAAAAATAAGCATATGTCTGACTCTTTCTGTTTAGTAATTCAGACTTCTAGATTTGTTCCAATTTTGGGTGATGTTTAATAGACCTTCTTAGGGCCTCATCCTGGGAGAAAGAGGGCCAATTCAAATCAGAAGTGGGAACAAGAAAATCAAAGGATCTTGAAGCCGATGGCTTCTTCTTGCCCAGGCTGGGAAAACACTCTGTGCTGACCCTGGTTCTTGTACATTCCTGAGATGTGAATGGATAAAGAGGGAGACTAAAGCACAAGAATCAGGAAATACTGTTCTGCTAGATGTCTTTTGTGCTCTCTGACTGTTTCTACCAGAGAACATGTCTTGGAACGTGAGTGACGAAATCCGACTGCAGAAGTCGTGCGAGTTTCCATGAACGAGCTGCTGCCTCCGTGGTTTTCTTTCCCCAAAGTTTGGCCTCAGGTCTAAGATCTGAAATGTATCTCATCCCATTATTATGTTATATATCCCAAAGAACACATTATATGTTCCAAAGATCGTCTTATCTGTTCCAAAGAACAGAGACTGCGCCTTGCAGATATTTTTAGTCTATTTGTGCATCTACACAAATGGCACCTTCATGCCTACTTTCTGTCAGTGTCTGTGTTCAGCTTTGGGTCATGCAGTGATGAATAGTATAGACTTGATCTTGCCCTCCTGAGTTTATATTCTATGGGAGAATCTGTATCTCACAGAGAACTGATATTATACATATGTTCAGTAGCATTGAATGAGAACTAAACAACATTTCAATTGGATTACAGTAGAGTCATGCTACACATATATTTAACATATGAAAATCTAACTGCATGTTCTCTTCAAAGAGGGAGAAAGAGGAAATAGAGTCAAGCCCTTTTGAGCTGCTTCTGGTCTTACAAATCCACTTGTGAGTGAAGGACCAAGACTGTCCGCCATGCCTGTGCTGGTTTCCACGGAATCCAAGCAGAGTGGGGTTGCTTGTGGTGCTTTATTTTCACTTGTTTTCTCTTTTGCTTTTTGTTCTCGTTACTGTTTCCTAGGACCACTGAAAAGCACCCCTCAAAAAACCTCTTTAGAGAAATTGACAATATTAACTTATACTTCATTGTCTCTTAGCCAAATATTTATAAAATAGCCACTGTTTGCTAGATGCTAAAAATGTGTCAATGAGCAAATAAATATAAAAATTAATCAGTCATGAAGCTAAGACCACATATGAATAATGATATTAGCAAAGTGTCAAATGTATATAATATAAATTATAAATTATAAAATATATAATAATATAATCATGTATAATAATATATAATCAAATATATATAATATTCTTAGTTTCATGGCTACTGCTCCCACTCTATCCCCACCCCGCTCTCTCTATTATAAAGACTCTCTCTCTCTGTTAGACTTAGACGGGGTAATCAGAAAAGAGCTTCCTGAGGAGGTGACCTATAAGTGGAAATCTAAATGATGGGTAGAAGTTAGGCTAAGGAAGGTGGGATGGGGTGGAGATGAGGGTGCAGTGGGGGGAGGTAGCCATGGAATTAATAAACAAGAAGCATGATTCCAAGCAGAGGGAATGGCAGGAAATTACAACACGAGAAATTAGCACAGATAATTGTCGGCCAGCTCATGTTTTTCAACCACCCTTACTTCAAGCCTCCCTCCTACCCACTCATCCACTCCCCATGACCCATTTTCCAACTGCCTTCAGAGTGATGTTTCTAAAACACAGATCTCAGACTGTTCATCTCCTTGCTGAAAGTGCTGCGGTGCGTCTCACCACTGCAGCCCCGTCGCTGTCGGCCCCCGCACTCTCCGACCTCCTCTCCCTCCGTTCCGTATTTTGATAAGGACTGTCCGCTACTCTGAGAACCTTCTGTGCCCCTGCAGTTTTGCATGTGCTGGTCCCTTTTCCTACAATTCTCTTTCCCACTTTTCCATCCGACCAATTTCCACGCATTACTGGTTTCATTCCAAATACTCTCTTCCCTAAGAAGCTTCTCCTATGTGTTCAATCCTCCTAGATGAGCACGCATCGTATCACATTCTCATGAGCTTTATATTGTACTGTGGGCTCTAGCTGGCTCAGGGTTCACTTAGTGCTTCATAGGTTAACTGAATTAAACTGAAATGAGTTTTACTTTTATCAACAAGCAAGCAAGGAAACCATGGTGTCTTAACCCAAATAAGCCAGAAGTTGGATTTCAGCTTCTGATGCAGATCTGGCATTAGAATGCATAGCGTCTGTTTGCATTCTACACCAATCCAAACTCTGACAGCTGCTTCAGGTTCCCTCCCATAACAATATACAGACACACAAATAATAGAGATGATGATCGCTTTTCTAGATCATCGAGTGACCTAGATGGCGTCACCTTGCTCAGACACAGCCTGAAAGTCCTCATTACATTCCTGTCCCCTCCTGTCATCTCTTGCAACTACACATTACAAATCCTTGTCATCTGTAACATGAAAAGAAAATTGCTGTCAAATTTTAAAGATGCACAAGTAAAAGAAAAAACATTTTTGCCAAAACCTATTGCTAGAACTGAAACTGCCTCAAATTCTAAGAAATCTCAGTCTGTTTCATTTTTAAATCATTCTTCCTCATATTTAAATACGGCAGGCATTAGTACACCTAATCAACCAGCCCTTCCGGAGCAGTGATTCCTGTCCCAGAGACCCAAGTCAAGCTGAAACATTGGCTTAGGAATTTTTGATTGACAATAAGAGTATGGGTCAAGGAAGTGGAAGACAGATCTGTAAGAGCAAATCTAATAAAACACATTCACGTGGGCACATCCTGGAAACTTTTCAGAGTTTCTTAATGAAATCTGAGTCAATATCACATCGAGCTTTTTGAGAATGCACCTTAAACCCTGCAAAAGAACCGCCAGAGTTTCAAGAGAAACCTCTGGGGCATCAGAAGGGTATCCCACCATTGCCAGTTGTCAGACTCCTAGGCCCTCTTTTCTGGGACGTGAAGCTCCCAAACAGGCCCTGTGGTTAAAATAGTAAGTCTGGGCCCTGCCCAGCCCCGCGTGACTCACCGAAGAGCAGGCCTGGCTTTGGTTTTCATTCTCCTTGCACCCAGTGCCGAATCCCACCCCACACGCCCAAGATCCCTGCTCGGCCCAAGGCGACCCCACCAGCTGGGGGCCCCCACCCGGTACCTTACCTTGCAGCTCGCTGAGTCTCTGCACTTCTAGGCTGTGATCCTTGCTTCTCTTCTCTCCTCTTCACCTGATCTAGAAATGGAACCCAGTGGCAGACACCTCAGAATGCTGGCCCTGGTCACCTTGTCTCTGTTTTGGCTGCTTGTCTGGCTCCAGCTATTCCCTGTTTATCTCTGAGACACACTGACTGCCACTGTTTGCCACCATGCCTTTTAGGGGACCTGTCCTCTCTGTCAGACTGAAATTATTTGGAAAGCCTATGTAATGTAATAGTTAAGATGGTGATCATTTCTCAATATACACAAATAAATCATTATGTTGTGCATCTGAAACTAATATAATTTTATATGTCAATTATACCTCAATTGTTAAAAATGAAAGAAAAATTAAGGAAACTTAAAGGAAAAAAAAGGCATGGGAAGCTTTGGAGATAGAGAGCCCTGTGTTTAAATCTAGATTTGCCACTTCTGAATGACTTGGAGTTACTGGTCTAACCTCAGAATTCCAGTTTCTGCATTTCAAAATGGGACAGCAGCAATTCCTTATGGGCCGGCATGAGCCGATGTACAGACAGAATGTGTGCGGTGCATAATTAGCAAACAAAAAATGAGTGACTTAAAAAATAATAACAGTGTTCATCCACCACATCAACAAAAAGAAAGATAAAAACCACACGATCATCTCCATAGATGCTGAAAAAGCATTCGACGAAATTCAACATCCATTCATGATAAAAACTCTCAGCAAAATGGGAATAGAGGGCAAGTACCTCAACATAATAAAGGCCATATATGATAAACCCACAGCCAACATCATACTGAACAGCGAGAAGCTGAAAGCTTTTCCTCTGAGATCGGGAACAAGACAAGGATGCCCACTCTCCCCACTTTTAATCAACATAGTACTGGAGGTACTAGTCTTGGCAATCAGACAAAGAAATAAAAGGCATCCATCCAGATTGGCGGAAGAAGTTAAACTGTCACTGTTTGCAGATGACATGATATTCTACATAAAAAACCCTAAAGACTCCACTCCAAAACTACTACAGCCTCAGCAGCGCCATTTGTTTGCCATGAAATGAAATACACCATCTCCAATCTCCAATCAGTGACTTCGGAAAGACTTAAAAGTTACCCTCATTCTTGGTGAAAAAAAGAAGTGAGGGAGGAAGAGCCTGGTTTCAAGCCTCCTGGAGGCAGGGGATTAGGTCCTGCTCATCTGTGTACCTAAAGTGGGTATCTGTTTGTTTCTCCACTGCCCGACACAAAATAGGCTAATTTCCCTAAGGCCCAGTTTCCTTCTCTATAAAATGGAGATGATGGTAATACCCACCTCAGACATATATGGGAATCAAATAACACAGTGAACACACTAAGAATCACTTACGCACCATTCAAAAGTAAAGGAGCATTAATTTGGGTCATATTATGTAATCATTTTTCACAAGGAAATCTTTCCCATGGTTCATTGAATGTTTAAACCTGTTCTAGAATCCTGTTCTGGGAAACAGTCATTTCTTAATAGAGATGACACGTCTGGCCAGGATATAATGCCAGCCTCCAATGGGAGAGGCTGATAGCACCTTGTGCCCTCGCCTGCACCTGCTGCCCTGGGCCGCTCCCCACATCGTGGGAGCCCCAGCCCCTCGTGGTCCTAGAACTTTCTTTTGTCTTTAGATTCTCAACTGAGAATCTGTGTCCAAGAAATTCTGAGATTGTCAACTCAAAGATGAGCCAGTCTGTTTTGTTTTAGTTTTAACACATTTTTCTCTTTACATCAAGAAATCATTGAATTACATAATCTCAGCATGGGAGAGGACTATAAAGCTCATCTAACCCAGCTCC